TTGGATCCTGATTGTTCTGTCTGAAGGAGTTCTGATACATTTATGTTGCAGAAAGATTTGTACCGTCCGCACCCATTCGTTCAAGATGTCTTATGGACAACTCTCCATAAATTTGTCGAACCAATTATGATGCGCTGGCCTGGTTGCAAATTGAGGGAGAAAGCTCTAGAAATTGTCATGCAACACGTTCACTACGAGGATGAGAACACTCGATATATTTGCATTGGTCCTGTAACCAAGGTAAATTGAGGGCTATATATGTTTGCTTGTTGAACCTTTACAAAAGGAGATGGAGTTTTATTTTGTCATACTCTTTCTACAAGCACAACATGGTCATATCCATATGCTAGAGACTTTAATATAGATTTATTTTCTCTATAACCAGAAATAAAAACTGAGTATTTTGTGATTTTAGCGCTTCCTTTAACTTTCAGCTTCTACGGGCTTAAACAACTATGGCATTACAATAATGAATCCTCCTCCATATCATCTTCACCTTTTTTTCTCACATTACTTCCCTCCTCAATTGTCTAGGAGAACTAAAATATTTGTTGTTGATTCTATGATTTATCAGTTCTTCCACCACTTCATGCATTATGATTGTCATGTGATCTATGTCATGCAATTAGTGAAAATGTATTATACGACACAAATCCAAAATTAATCATGATTTTGCTAATTTACCCACTACATGCAATCACAGTGCTTTGTAACATCATATGATTATGCCAAACAAGATAGTACTTGAGTGATCTATTCAAATCATGGAATTACTTTTCTTTCTCTTTATTCTCCGACATTTATGTAATCCCACCATCCCAAAATAAATCAACCTTTAGAATTCTCCTAAGTCAAACTATCCTAAGTTTGACTAAATTTATAGAATTATGGCACCAAATTACATCATTTGATAAACCATGAAATATATTTTCATAATTTTCTTATTTAGTGCCACAGATGTCGGTAGTCTTCTCCATAAATTTGGTTAAACATTGAATTGATTTACTTAGGACAACTTTAGAAGTTGATTTATGAGTTCAATGCACCAAGAGCCCTTAAACTTATAAGGATGAGCCACTTAGATCCATGAACTCTCAAATTGCATTTATGAGCCCCTTTATGTTGATTTTTGGTTCATTGTGGGTCCATGCTACTTCGTCAATTCTACTTTGCTTGAGTGGCATGACAACATGTCAAGGGACAACGTGGGACATGGTGGGGCTGAGCTAGGGATGGGTGGCACATGGTGGCTCTAGGTGCGTGCGTGGGCATTGGCTGGAGGCATGGCAAGCAGTGATTGGTGGCGCGAAGAAGGGCCGGGCGGCAGGAGACGCATGGAGTAGGAGGCACGCAGCATGGAGTGGATTTGGATGTTGTGTGGGAGTCTCAAGCAGCGGTGCTTTGGCATGCGGGTTGTGGTCTTTTGTCAGTCCTACACCTTCAGACCCTCATGTGGGTGTGAGCTTAGCCACATGGGATGGTGCGACCTCAGCCACTTTTGTGGACGAACCGCCATGGGTGTGTGGCCTTGGGCGATGAGCCATCATGGGCAGACATGAGCTTGGTCGCTGGCGCGGGCGAGCCACTGTGGGTATGTGTCCTGGCCGTGGCGCATGCGGGTAGGGGACGGCAAGCTAGGGAGAAGAAGAGAGTAGGAGAAGAAGGATTCTATTCTTAAGAGATGAGAGAAGAGGAAGGGTTAAATGCAATAAACATGACATGTTGGTGTTCCACGTAAGCACAATGGTCCTGTTTGCTTGTCTTATGAGCCATACTGTTTCAGCGAAGGAACAATGATTTTCTCTTACAACAAATCAGCAAATAGTACTTTCAGCCATGGCTTTTCAGCGAAGCGAACATGGCCAATAGCATTGACGAAGCAATATGAACCTACGATGAACCAAAAATCAACATAAGGGGCTCATAAATGCAATTTGAGAGTTTATGGACCTAAGTGATACTCAGCTTACAAGTTCAAGGACCGTTGGTGCATTTAACTCTTGATTTATTTTTGAACAGAGGGACTACTGTAACTAAAAACAAAATTCTTAGTGCCTTGATATGTCCAGGCTAGATTCCTCAGCCTTAAGTATAGTTTATTTCTGGCTATGTTAGCCACTTCTGTTGACTTAAATCATTTCTGCAAATTTGATGATGTATGATTTATGCTCGTAGGTTGTGAAACTTTTATCGTAAGTATATACCATGTTATTAAATAATCATATTATTTCTTGATTATATCTTAATATTATTCAGCTGATTGCAGCAAGAAATTCTATGCAGGTATTAAATATGCTTGCTTGTTGGATTGAAGATCCAAAGTCAGAGGCATTCAAACTCCACATTCGACGAGTCTATGATTACTTGTGGCTAGCTAAAGATGGCATGAAGATGCAGGTGATTATTGTTGTTTAGTGGCCCATATCCTTTTTACTTAATTAACTTCCTTTTAGGCAGCTACTGCAACAACAAACCTGTCAACATATAATATTTTGTTGTGTCTTAATGGGATTGGCAATTGTTTTGGCATCTTCAATCCAACCAGCCCTTTCTACTGTAGGGTTATAATGGTAGCCAACTTTGGGATACAACTTTCGCAGTTCAAGCCATTGTGGCTACTAACCTTATTGAAGACTTTGGTCCCACCCTTAAACTAGCACACAACTACATCAAGAATTCTCAGGTACATTTGACGTGCCTTTTTGTCTATATATATATATATGGTTCAACCTTAGGTCCATTTACAGTACTGATAAATGGCTATTCATTACAAAAGGTTCTTGACGACTGCCCTGGTGATCTGAATGACTGGTACCGCCACACGTCTAAAGGTGCATGGCCCTTCTCAACTGCTGATAATGGTTGGACTGTATCTGATTGCACTGCAGAAGGATTAAAGGTGAACTCGGTCATCAGCATTACCAATAACGAATTTTACTTTAGGTGTTTAAATTTTTTTCTTTTGAGATTTAGGATCATTTATTCTTACAGCATCTATAAACTCTTTCCACATTAATCAAACTATATGGCAATGCTGAGAGTGGCAAATTTGCAAATATTTATGCTCACGTAGCTAATAAGGTTTAGTTTTGTTCCCTGGCATGTATGTGCCAGTATTCTTGACAGTATTATAGTACAGTGTCTAGCATGTTGTCATAATTATATGTTTTAAATATTTAATTGCTTCTTTTCTTTGACTACAGGCTTCATTATTGTTATCAGAGATTTCTCCTGAGATTGTTGGCGAACCGGTGGAAGCTAATAGGTTTTATGATGCTGTCAGTTGTCTGATGTCTTATATGGTAAGTATCCTGATTTTTTTCTTTATGAAGAATGGAGAACTTCTAGAGTTCTCTGTATTGCTTGTCTTGTTATATACATATACATTAGGTTGGGCTAGGCCCATTACACAAACATGGCCCAACACTTTATCTTCTCACAATTGTTGCAATTGAATCATTTTTAACAAAATGGTCGGTGTAAATTTGTAAACATTGTGTACGTTGTGGAAAACAAGACTCTTGAACTGGCAGCAGCCCTCTTATATTATACTATGGTCATATATCTCATTTAAATTCTATGGTGTTTTTTTTATCTCCATTGTTCTTGTGTGTTTTGAATAAATCCATTAGAGGGACCATGTCTCATTGGTTTGTGTTAACCTTTGCAGAATGATAATGGTGGTTTCGCGACATACGAACTCACAAGATCTTATGCCTGGCTGGAGGTAGGTGGATGAACTTCTTCGACCCCTCAGGCCACTTGTGGAATTCTTAATTGTTGCCGTTGAGTAGAAATACATGATAAGATATTAGCTTTGTTTCAAAACAGTATAATTCATCAGCATTCCTTGAATCTTTCACGTTTCATCTATATTGACATTCTTTCTTCAATTATTCAGCTTATCAATCCTACTGAGACGTTTGGGGACATTATGATTGATTACCCGTAAGATGCAGTAACTTTTTCACTGTGTTGATTTTTACTTATAAAACAAACTGAGACAACATAAAACTCATTTAATTTTGCAGGTATGTTGAATGTACATCAGCAGCGATTCAGGCCCTGACATCATTCAGAAAACTCTACCCTGGGCAACTGTATCTGCAAAGCTGCCAATTTCATTGAGGATGTTCAGAGAAGCGACGGTTCATGGTCAGTATCTGGACTCCATGCGAACTAAAAAGTACCAAATAATCCTCTACATGTTTATCAGTCTCCAACAGGTATGGCTCTTGGGCTGTTTGCTTCACGTACGGCACTTGGTTCGGTGTGAAGGGACTAACTGCTGCTGGTAGAACATTTGAGAACAGTCCTGCAATCAGAAAGGCATGCGGCTTTCTGTTATCAAAAGAGCTTCCTTCCGGTGGTTGGGGAGAAAGTTACTTGTCATCTCAAGACCAGGTAAATTCACTTATACCAGTTTCTTTAAAATAGCAGCAGTTAGAGTGCATCATTTTATCTCAAGGGTTTGGTACGAGTAGGTTAGGTAGCAGTTGAAATGCTAACATGCTATGCTAGTGAGCAAAACAGTGGTGCGGTGTTGATTCTTGGAATTTGAAAGACCTTTGCATTAACCATGCATCTTTTTACACACTGAATCAGGTTTACACCAATCTCAAAGGCAACCGAGCTCATGCAGTGAACACTAGTTGGGCCATGCTGGCACTAATTGATGCAGGACAGGTCTGTTACTTAGCCTGTGGCTTTGGATACTCTGATCCGGTGTGCGCATTCAGAATGGTGCTTAAATCTCGTCCATACTGTAGGCTGGAGAGATCCAACACCCCTACACCGAGCAGCAAAGGTTTTGATCAACTTGCAATCAGACGGCGGAGAATTCCCTCAGCAAGTAAGCAACAACCGGCCGGTCCACAAATCAGAGATACTAACATCAGTTCACTCTTCCAATAGGCAATAAACCATACGGAGTATAATCTAAGTTCAACTTCTCTCACCCTTTTGTTATTTACTAACTATAATTGCACTGCCTAACACAGGAGATCATAGGAGTGTTCAACAAGAACTGCATGATCAGTTACTCCCAGTACAGGAACATCTTCCCAATTTGGGCTCTGGGTGAGTACCGGTGCAGGGTCCTGGGGGCTGGCAATAAGCAGTAGTGCCTGTGCCCCCCATCAATCAACTACTAGCTATGTTCAGGAGTTGCGCAGCGCTCCTAGTAGTTCTAATAATGTATATTGAAGGGGGTGCATAATGTAGCTAGATTCAGGTCTCTTGATAGACTCTTTTCGTTCGTGTGAAAACTGATGTAGTCTGTCAGAGTTGCACTGCGAAATCCAATCGGCGATCGAGTGCATACATGTTTGCTTATTCATTACATACAGATTCGCATGGATGAAATGAGATAACAACACCATGAGATCATCAGATGGGTGTCAATGTCAGGGCGCCAGCCTCCTAGGGACGCGCGGGAACAGCGACGTCTTCCTGATGTTACCGAGGCCGCAGAAGAGCATGACGACGCGCTCTAGCCCGACGCCGAACCCGCCGTGCGGCGGCGCGCCGTACCGGAATGCGTTGACGTAGGTGGCGATGGAGGCGAGCAGCTCCGGGACGTGCACCCTCTGCGCGCCGGAGATGATCTCCTCGGCCCGGACGAAGACGTCGAAGGAGCAGCTGTAGCGCGGGTCCTCCGGGCACGGCATCGTGTAGAACGGCCTCACCGCCGACGGGTACCGGCACAGCATGTAGAACTCCGTGCCGTACCTGTCTCGAACGAGGTCGCCCAGCTTCTTCTCCGCCTCCGTGTTGAGGTCCGCCCATGGGGTCCACGTGTACCCCGGCTTCCTGCAGCATCCGGATGCCCTCGTCGTAGTCCATGCGCAGCGTCGTCCTCAGGTACTTCAACGGTTGGAAAGGGTACTGCCTCCGGATGGCCTCCAGCTCCTTGCCGCACTTGTCGTTCAGGTGGTCGAACATGGCGACGAACAGCCTGTCCACGACGTGGCACACCTGCTTTCCGCAAAAATGAGAAGAGGAAGAAGAAGAGTGTCAGTGACTCAGTGTACATGTGAATAGCTAGCAGCTTTGCCATGATAGATTTGACACAATTATTTAGCCATACATCCAGCATGTATACTGACGTTTAAGATAAATCGCAAGTCCTAAAATATGAACTAGTACGAGATTTATAGATATAGTGAGAGAGAGAGAGTGAGGTTGCGGAGGTGCAAACCATCGTCCGTCTTCGTAGAAGATGAGCTTGCCATAGCGTGCTTGTCGGTGACGCGGTGAGGTCCGGCAGTGAAGTCGCAGACGCAGTGGCGGCGATACAGAGGCGGCGGTGGACGGTGACGGTCTTTTCGTCGTTGGCAGCGCCCCTTCTCTAGATCGACTAGGGTTAGGATATAGGTGGGGTGTCTGACGGCTGAGGTGAACCTCGTGCCTTATGCCCTGGCCCCCACCTTCCTTTTTACGGCGTTGTGCGATGGAGGCGTACCAACCATGGAGCGGTTGAGCGCCCCCGATCAGAGCGCGGATTCAGGGGCCCAATTGACCGTTGGGCCAATTAGAAGGGATCAATCTAATATTTTCTCCATTGATCTCACCTTATGACTTAAACTTAACTTACTTACTTTATCTTATTCTCATTCCATCACAGATCAGTGCATAGAGCGTGCCTCATCGTCACGGTCAGTTGCCATTAGATTAAACAGCTACAATGCACCTCTCTGTTTTAAAACAGATTCTCAACTAGGCCCTTATTATCCGGTAATCATAGGCTTTCCCTTAAACCCATACCGGCTAAGTGTTCTCTGAACACGTTGGGTGGTAAGCCTTTTGTAAACAGATCCGCGAGTATCTTTTCTGTTCTTATATGCTCAAGACTAATTATATGATCCCGGACTTTATCTTTCACAACATAATACTTTATGTCAATGTGTTTGGCAGCACCACTTGACTTATTGTTGTGAGCATAACATACTGCTGGATTATTATCGCAGTATAACTTGAGTGGTTTATGTATGTCGTCTACTACTTTTAACCCGAACATTAATTTATTCAGCCAATTCACCTGCCCTGTGACCTCATAACTTGCTACAAACTCGGCATACATTGTGGACGATGTAGTGACGGTTTGCTTTGAGCTTTTCCACGATATAGCTCCTCCTACGAGAGTGAATATGTATCCTGACGTGGATTTTCTGTCATCTCCCGCATAATCATAATCTGTATACCCCTCTATGTGCAGGAAATCAGATCTTCTATATGTTAGCATATGACCCTTCGTACCTTACAGGTAACGCAAAACTTTCTTTACTAATTTCTAGTGTTCTATTTCTGAATTACTCTGATATCTATCAAGTAACCCGGTAATACTAAGTCAGGGCGAGTACACACTTGAGCATACTGTAAACTTCCGACAGCTGAACTATATGGAACCGCTTTTATTTGATCGATCTCATATTGGTTCCTACGATATTAAAATTTCCCATATCTATCGCCCTTGACTATGAGAGCAGGTGAAGACTTACAATTTTGCATACTGTATTTCTTTAGAACTTTTTCTAAGTATGCCTTTTGTGAGAATCCTAAAACTCCTTTTTCTCTATCTCAGTGAATCTCTATTCCTAGGACGAACGTAGCTTCACCGAGATCCTTCATATCAAACTTCGAGGACAAAAACTTCTTTTTTCTAGTAGTAGATTAACATCACTGCTAGCGAGCAAGATGTTATCCACATACAAGACTAGGAAAATGTATTTCTCATTCTTGAACTTTGCATAAACGCAATTTTCCTCTACGTTTTCTTGAAACCCAAACTTTCTTATTGTACTATCAAACTTCAAATACCACTGTCTTGAAGCTTGTTTTAATCCGTAAATGGATTTCTTCAGGCGGCATCCCATACGTTTTTTCCTTTCACAACAAAACCTTTCGGTTGTGCCATGTAAATATTTTCCTCCAGATCCCCATTTAGGAACGCCGTCTTTACATCCATCTGATGTAATTCTAAATTATAATGTGCTACAAGCGCCATTATGATTCTAAAGAAATCCTTACATGAGACTGGAGAAAATATCTCATTATAATCTATACCTTCTCTTTGCATAAAACCTTTCGCCACAAGTCGCGCTTTAAACCTTTCTATATTCCCTTTGGAGTCATGTTTAGTTTTGTAGACCCATTTACAGCCTACTGTCTTGGCTCCTTTAGGAATTGTTTCTAAGTTTCAAACACCGTTGGTTTTCATTAATTTTATTTCATCTTCCATGGCTTTAAGCCACTTGGATGAGTGAGCGTTTCTCATGGCTTCTTCAAATAAGGTGGGATCACCCTCCATTTAAAATTTCTCACATTCATAAACTTCATAATCATCAGGAATGGCTAATCTCCTGACTCTTTGAGACCTTCTAGGGGCTTCATTAGATGACACTTGTTCTATATGAGGCTATTGTTGCTTCCCCTCATGTGTGACAACAGGTTCTAGGGGATCCTAAAGGACAGGCTCCTCATGTTTATTCATTGGTGCCACAGGAAAACTAATAACAAGTGTTATTACTATAGTGTCTTGCACTGTTGGTACAACAACAACAGGTAGCATGAAGAATGACTCCTGAACTATAGGAGTGGGCATGTATACCCGCTTCTCTTTAAAACCAATTTCTTACGCTACCGTGCTCCTCCTGATCATATCATCCTCCAAGAAGATAACATGTCTTGTTTCTACAAAGTTTGTTTGTCTGTCAGGACAATAGAAGCGATAACTTTTTGACTTTTCTGGATAGCCAATGAAATGGCAACTGACTGTCTTGGAGTCTAGCTTCCCCATGTTTGGGTTAAAAACTTTTACCTCAGCTGGACAATCCCACACACGTAAATAGTTAAGTGAGGGTTCCTTTTCTGTCCACAACTCATAGGGTGTTTTGGGCACCGACTTACTTGGCACTCGATTAAGAATATGAATGGCGGTTTTCAACGCCTCCATCCATAAACTTATTGGTAGGGTAGAGTAACTTATCATGCTTCTTACCATATCCATTAAGGTAGGGTTGCGTCTTTCAGCTACTCCATTCTGCTGAGGCTCGCCCGGTGTAGAATACTGGGCAACTATGTTATTTTCCTGTAAGAACCTGGCAAAGGGTCTAGGAACTTGGGTATATGGGGTGTGTCGACCGTAGTACTCTCCCCCATGGTCGGACCTTACTACCTTAATCTTTAAGTTGTCCTGATTTTCTACTTCAGCCTTAAATATCTTAAATTTAAACAACGTTTTCGATCTTTCCTTAATTGGATAAATATAGCCAAAATGAGAATAATCATCTGTGAATGTTATAAATAAATCATAATCATCCACACTTTTCAAAGAAAAAGGACCACAGATGTCTATGTGAACTATTTCTAAAATTTCTACGCTTCGTTTGGCATCTTTCTTTATTTTCTTAACGTACTTTTATTTTATGCAATCAATGCATTGCTCTAAATCTGAAAATTCTAAAGGCGGAAGAATTGATTTCTTAATCAATCGCTCTATTCCCCCCTCGAAATATGGCCTAAACGACAGTGCCATAATTTCGAAGATACATCATGCACTCTCTTTCGCTTATTTGTTGCATTCATAGACGAGGAATCATTCTCATTCTCAGTGCTCGCATCATTCATATTCTCATAAAGTGGTAATAAATAAAGCTTGTCTTGTCAGAAGGCAAGACCAACACACTTATTGTTAATCACAATCCGACATTTGCCATTACCAAAATGACAATCATATCCATTATCATCTAGTCATGAGACACTTATCAAGTTTCTAAGCAAAGAGGGTACATAAAGAATATCTGAAAGCTGTAGACTAAAACCATCATCTAATTCTAGAGAGAGATCTCCAATGGCTTCAGCTTCAGCTTCAACTCCATTTGCAACTTTAATTCTTCTTTCTCCTCTTTGCAGGGTCCTCCTCGTATAGAATCCCTGTAATGAATTTGCAACATAAACAGTTGCACCTGAATCAATCCACCAAGTAGATTTTGCATAACTTAAATACAAGGATTCATCTTTTAATGTAATGATATCCTCACCTCTCTTCAGAAGGCTCTTTAGAAAGTCTGGACAGTCCCTCTAGTAATGTCCATGCTTCTTGCACCATTTACACTGATCCTTCTCAACTTGAGCATTGTTGTTCTTCTGATGGTGGTCATTCTGAGGGGCTTTCCCTTGAGGTTTGGCATTCTTATTAAAATTTTTCTTTTTGTTGTCCTTCACAAGGTTAGCAGAGTCACCCTATGAGCTTTTAAACCTCTCCTCTTATTGAACACATATTGCGATGAGCTTCTCTATATCCCACTTATCGGGCTACATGTTGTAATTTACAACAAAAGTTTCATATTTCTTAGGCAAGGAAGTAAAAACCAAATGAATAAGGAACTCATCCTTGAGCCCCAAATCCATTGGCTTCAGCTTCGAAGCCATGTTGCTCATCTTCATTATGTGCTCTCTGATACCGCCACCAGTGTATTACTCATTGAACAATTTCTTAATCAAAGTACTGACATAAGCCTTGGAAGAGCAAGTGAACTGACTCTCCGCTTTCTTAAGATACTCTGTGGCGGTATCACAATCTGGGATGGACCCCCTTATAGCATATGAAATTGTGGACTTACCCACCTCAAGCATTTGCGGTTTGAAATGTCCCATTTCTTGCGTTCGAGATCATTCTTCATCCGCACTTCTGCATGATCTTGCTGCTGAGCAGTGAAATCAGCATCAGTCTCATTATCTTCCCTCACCGGGACCACTGTCACAGTCGGACACGAGGAGGTAAGCGCTAGGTCATTTTCAGATAGCGCAAGTGCTAGTTCATACTTCTCTCGCCATACCCTGTAGTTGCCCCCTTCAAGAGGCGGTATGTGTGAGATAAAAGTCATTGGGTTGAGTCCTGAAAAACACCGTCAGAGATAGTGAGAAAATATGACATCATAATTGCATGCTTTAATTTAATGTTGGTTAAAATTAAAACATACAACATTCTTATACACTAATTCTACATCACCGTTGGGCAGAAATAGAATTAATATATGGAAAACTTATGAATAAACATTATAATATTGCTATTATCAACGTTGGTCAGAAAAATAACAATATTATAATTTACTGACTAAAAATGACTACTCTTCAAATTAAATTCTCCCGTTGGTTCGAATTTAATTAGAAGATAATAAACTTTAACATTGCAGCGAAAATATAAAAAAAATATTTATCTACTTTTCAGAAGCATTTTACTATATTAATCTACTCTCTAAAAAAATTATCCCGTTGGTTCAAATTTTGACAGAGATTGAAACTGGACAAAAAATCATCAAAATTTGCTTCTGAAAATAAATAAAATAATAACTTAATTTCTACTGTTCATTTGGCCCAGCCCGTTGAAACAGTGCTCGGCCCAACGACGTAATGCCGCCCGCGTGCCCACGCTCGCGGCCCAAAACCCGGTGCACGCTCTCGCTTCCCCGCGCCAAAGCCGCAACCTGGGCCTAGGCCGGGAATTCCATCGCCCGCCTGGGCTGTATCCGACCCGATGGTTCTCAGCCGTTCATTGCGATTGGACGGTTGTCCGTCGTTCTCGGCAGATACAAAATGGCCCGGCGCGGCGTGGACGCCCTAACCCTAATTCATTCGTTCGCTCGCCTTCTCTCTCTCAGCGCCGCGCACGGAGAGGAAAAAAGAGTGAGCAGTGGAGCGGCGTCGCCACCGGTCCCCTCTCCGGCGTGCGCACTCGCCCTGGGCTGAGTGCGCCACCGTCGAGCGGTCTAGGCGACGGTGCCCTAATCCCCCACACGCACTACGGTGAGACTCTCTCTAAACCCTAGATCTTACTAGGGCCGTCGTGGGTCCCCTCGTCGGAACGCGCGCTCCCTAGTGGGTGAGTGCAGCTCCGTCAAGCGGTCCTGTGACGGTGCCCTCGGCCGAGGCTCACGCGGACGGCGGCGAGCGCGTCTCGGCTTCTCTCCGCGCGCCGGCGAGGCGGCGGCGGAGTTCCTTCCCGCTCGACGACGGGATTCTACCCGCGCGACGGCGGTGGTGACGCACGGCGGAGAGTCCGGGTAGGTTTTCCCCTCCTTCGTCCTTACTCTAGGGTTAGGGTTAGGGTTAGGGTTTCGGGTTGGAGTTCGATCCGATTTGAATCACCTCCTTCTAATTTCTATCTCGATAAGCTAGATCTACGCCTAATTAGACGACTGATACCATTGATAGATTTGACACGATCATCTAGCCATAGATCTAACATGTATACTAACATTTGAGATAAATAACAAGTCCTAAAACATGAACTAGTACGGGATTTACATATAGAGTGAGAGAGAGAGTGGGGTTACGAAGGTGCAAACCATCGGCCGCTTCATAGAAGACGAGCTTACCATGGCGTGCTTGTCGGTGACGCGGTGAGGTCCGACGGTGAAGTCACGGACGTAGTGGCGGCGGTGCAGAGGCAGCGGTGGACGGTGGCGGTCTTCCCGTCGCTGGTAGCGCTCCCTCTCTAGATCGGCTAGGATTAGGATGTAGGTGGGGTGTTTGGCGGCTCAGGTGAACCTCGTGCCTTGTGCCCCGGCCCCTACCTCCCTTTTTTATGGCACTGTACGACGGGGGGCCACCAACCCTGGAGCGGTTGGGCGCCCCCGATCAGGGCGCGGATCCAAGGACCCAATAGCTGTTGGCCAATTGGAAGATATCAATCCAACATGCCACAGGCAGGGCCGGCAGCAATGACCCTGACCTCGATGTAGTGGTCTCTGAGCGCCATCTCGACGTCGAGGCCGACGAACTCACAGAGGTGGCGGTGGGTGTTGGAGTGCTCGGCCCTGAAGACAGGGCCTACCTCGAAGACGCGGCCGAAGCCGTCGCACAAGACCATCTGCTTGTGCAGCTGTGGCGACTGCGCCAGGCACGACGGCTGCCCATTGTAGTCTAGCCTGAACACGGCAGCGGCGCCCTCGCTCGAACCGCCGATCAGCTTCGGCGTGTGGATGCCCACGAACCCTTCCGACAGCAGCATCTGCCTGAAGATCTATACATAGTGCACGACGGTTTGTTTGGGACGGGCAGTGGTGTCAGAGTTACTAAATCCGTTCCAAATTATAGTTTGTTGGGCTTTTTTAACCCTAAGTTTGATCATTCGTCTTATTCAAAAATTTATGAAAAATATTATTTTTTTGTTGCGACTTACTTTATTAAAAAAAAGTTGTTTAAGAATGACTTAAATTTGACTATATTTATATAAATTTTATAAATAAGACGGCTGGTCAAACTTAGAATCAGAAAAGTCAAACGAAGTATAATTTGGAACAGATTAGTACATACGTACTGTATCAAGAACTAGCTGGATTTAGCATATTTATGCATCTTTTGTTCATTCAAGTTCGTCGTCTCCGGATCGGATGAGGAGCTTACGTTTTCGACCTCGCATTGGACGCGGAAGATGGCCTGGTTGGCGGCGGTGCGCAGGTCGATCACCCGGTAGTCCAGCCGCTTGTCATGCCCAACATGAACCACCTGTCCACCTGCTCTCCTGCCTGTCAACATGCACATGCTTGCAGTGAACCATTCATCGCGCACAGCACATGTACTAGCAGAGCAGACAGGAGCTTACAGCTTTGGCTCTCGCGACGTCCTCCTCGCTCCGCGCCGCGTCGTCGACGCCGATGGGGAGAGCGGGGACGGCCCTGCTGACGCAGTGGAGCTTCTCCACCCGGATCTCCACGGCCTGCTGGGTGGTGCCGCGGACGGGCTCCCGCGGCAGCGACACGGCGCCGGCGACGTCCACCACGGACTCCCGGCTCAGCCCGGCCGCGAACCGCGCCATCCCGCCGTCCCCGCCAGCGCCGCCGCCGGCATCCACGCACTGCACCGTGGCCCCGTCCTGCCGCATCACGAGGAACGCCACGCGCCGCCCCACGGAGCGCACCGCCTGCGCCGCGCACGCGCAAGCGCGGCCGGAGGACTCCGGGCCCAGCGATGCCACGTCCACCCAGGGGTACCCCGCGTACAGCCGCCGCAGGGCGCCTATGGTTGCGGCGTCGCCGTAGTAGTCCTCCTCCTCCTCGTGGTGCTCGCCTCCGGACGCCATGGCGCTCTGCGTGCTGCGTGCTCTGGCTGGCTGCGGTGCCGAGCCGGTGGCGCGCTCAACTGGTGAAGCTGCCTACGTTTGAGACGCTGAGGGCCGTTGTATTGTAGTGCTCGGTGGGCGCCGTCCCCGGTAAAGTAGCCGCCCATATGACCACGCCGTCGACGTCTTCCATGGTCCTTGACTTCAAAGGCTGACGGGTTGTTAAGAAAACGGGGGCCTTTTGCAAAAATAGTAAAATATAAGGACGGCTCTCTTGTTGTTCATGTGAAACTCTCGAAGTGTAACTTTTAAAATATCATATTTAGATATTCGAAGCTGTCACAGAATGTCATCCGGGTTCAAACAAGCGTCCACCACTCCGCGCACCTTAACTAACGTGGCATGTCTGAAGTAAATCCTTGCGACTTAGGCCTTGGAACCTTGGTCAATAGGGGCGTGATTGGTTCTATGAGGAGGAGCCGCCAAGTTGAGACAGGCTTATTGCATACCAGGTCTTGATGTTTGGTTGACTGCATAATAAGTATGTACAGGACGAGTGCATCAGTTGTTTGGTTGTTGCTGCACCCGCTCTTTCACGGACGACTCACGAGACGCGCCCGCTTGAGCCAGGCTTCAAAGAAACGGAGACCATCTATCCCCACGAGAACGGAAACCATAGGGTTGTTTGTTTCTCTGGACGGCGGCTCGGGACAGACCGGTGGGCTGCTACTCCTCTTGTTTGATACCCTGGACGCAACATGGGCCAAGCTAGCACGGTGCTTAAAGCACGTCAGAGCCTGCATCCGAAAAAATAAAATCAGACTTCGTTCCTCGAGAGCCTGGCTCTCTTCGGCGCTCGGTGACGGCTCCCGTCACCTCTCTTTGCCCCACCGCCCGGATCTTCCATCGATTCCGATAAAAAAAATCTTCAATCGATCCTCGCAGATCCCTCCCCTCCACGGCAGCCGGGGCCAGAGACCTCCATGGCCGAGGCCGGAGCACGTCCTGCAGCCAGGCTAGGGCCCGCCGTGGAGCGCGACCATGGCGGCGGCGTCCTCTGCGACGGCGAAGGTGTCGAGCCAGTGGAGCCGCCACCGGCCCCCTGCGCGGCCACACCGGTGCACGCCGAGCCAGAGTCTGCAGCCACCACCGTCCTCCGTGTGCTTGGGCCTGGCGCCGGCGGCGTCCACAGCGTGCTGTGCCCGCGCGTCCACCGCGTGCTGCGCCGGCGGCGAGGACGACGGCGTCGACCGTGTCGAGGACGACTACACCTGCCCCCGCCTTCCCTCGTGCTCTCACTCTCCGTCTCCCACCCCCTCCTTCCTCTCCGATTCCCCTGCAGCCCTGCTCCACAAGTGCTCGATGAAATACCACTGCAGGGGTAAGTTTACCACTTGGTACTGCAAGGTCACCATACCAAGTTGTGCCGGCAAACGTACCCTGTTCGGTTGACTGAAAAATACTGTTCTGACTGAAATGTTGTGAGAGAAAAATACTGTTTTGACTGAAAAAAAATCCGAACAAACCGAATTTAAGGTAAGCCGAACGGGATAATCCAAACTTAGCCTGGCTCTGTAGAGAAAGAGAGCCAAACACAGCAAGTTGCATCTAGTTGACCAGCCTCTTTTTACCCAGAGGTTGAGTTCGTACTAGCCAGGGAGAACCGTCCAGGGAAACAAACAGGCCCCATCTATCCCCGCGACGGGGTGGTTTACATGTTCGCTGCAGGAAACCAAACGTCTGGTTTCTGCATGCTGCCGGCCAGGCCAGGCTAGGTGCAGGGCACCAAACACGCCCTGGGTGTATCACATGACGGTAGAACTCACATATTACGAGTGATAACATTGGTTCTGTCTTGTTCACCTACACCTCAAAGTGGTACATCCTCAATAATGGAGGTGGCTAGAACGAACCTGGTGTACAGTGGACATAGCTATGAGTGTTGTCATAGAAGATATACTCGGACATCAAGGCATAGATAGGTCAAGACAGCTACATAAAGTCTAGGTAGAACCTACGGTATCGCCACTGACGTGCTATATAATACATCGATATTAGTCATGTAATACCAGATACTCCATTGTAATCGACTAAGGAAACGTATTCTAATAAACATGAAACGCATGTCCTCATCTATGATACATAGAAAACACTAGTTCAGCATCACCTTACTGTACCTGAAAGCATCTAGGTCCGTAGTTGGGTTTCGGTGACTAATGACTACACAAAATTACCGTAATTAACGTGTGTTTTACAGAGGCATTGTCGCAGAACCGACCAATTTATAAGAATCCAAGTACAATGGCAATCCGCAAGCGGTCGCACTGTCATACTTGAACCCATATAAACCCGGTAGTCCGTCGAGTACCACGACGGGTCTCGATAAACGATTTACAACAACCAAGATCGTACAGGATTCAACATACATGCCACATATTACATAAAGTTCGCAGGTACTTTTCATCATCGAAGCGAATAGAAAGTTATTACAAACCAAGTTTGATAATTAAAGCGGAAGCAAATAAGTTTGAAGATAAGTTTCCAACGTAGTTTGATACAAATGCCGTGCCGGATCACGATCCACAAAAGCAAAGATGGGAATTACTAGGAAGCTCGCCCAAGGCTTACTCCTCATCCACAATGGGATAGAAGCAACTCTTGCAATAACCATGATACACAAAGTGCCATCGCAACATTGGGAAAATAAACCCCGAGTACGAGAAGGTACTCACTAGACTTACCCGTCATGAACCGTAAATAAAATGACTCCAAGGATCATGCAAGGTCTGTATAAGTGGGACGTAACTTGACAACATTTTGCGAAAAAAGGCAATTACCCGTTGAAAAATTATGATTCCTTTATCAAGTTAATTATAACTATCCATTTCTAGATTAGCAACTATCCTGTGCCAAACATGTGGGATATCATTTAGAAGCATACAATAGTAACCATAGCAGGTATTGTAATTCCATATTCATCCGAACCACCATGTTTCATAATATAGTCAAGCTACGATGTTGGGACTAGCCAAGTTTCTCACTATCCGGGAGAGACGGCGATTCGAATCGATTTCAACCGGTGGGAATTTATTCCTAACACAAACCCAGATCTACCGACCACGATAGTCTTAGGTCACCTTTGGTACAACTCAGTACACATTTCGCGGGTTCGACTTGCGCGCACAATCTGGAACACCGGATGCCGGGATGCTCAAGCAAACCCGCCCTTGGGCTCATCGATCGTTCCCGGAAAGGCGCAATGTAAACGATTCCGGCCCGAGTTGAATTACTCGGCTTCGCGGTCGGAACGAATTATCCGGCCACTAAGTGAGAGGCATGCGTTCAATCTTGTCGAAGCGCCAACAACGATGCGGTCCTTAATCGACACTGACGGGATAAGTCCACACCCAAGACCTCCATGCCTTGTTGCTTCCCTATCGATCTCCCGTCCGGTCTCAATTTACTTTTACCTCATGGTTACATTCCACGATAGCGAGATATAGCCAACCGTGCTCTCGGATCCACCTATATCTCGCAGTGACAGGACATCACCCGACTTCTACCGGTCTAAGCATGGCTAAGCATATATATATTCGATCCACGGACCTATACCGGTTAAAGGTGTAATATCTGGACAAGGAATGTACATGCATCAAGTGGTTTCATTCAACTCTTATAACCTAATGCATCAATCATAAGTACGTAATTAAACATTTGTAAATTCATCGGGAGACTTATAATGCTCCAGGGCTTGCCTCGCAGAAAGGAAGTAGGACGGTGGTCGGGGCACTCGGAAGCTCTTCGTGGTTCGCTCCACGCCGGGAGCTGCGGCTTGCGGATCCTCCTGCGGGTTCCCTTCCTCGGCTTCTTCAATTCCAAGAACGTGATCTCTTCCTCCGATCCTAGATGCATGAGTATGGTATAAGTATTACGAATGCATATATGTTAACAAGTGCATCACGTTGTTTGAGTAGGTGCATATCTCTTCTCGCTTACTACTTAACTACTTCTACAAAGCATCGACTATGCCATAAACAAGATATCTACTTGTTTCGCTCATAACTGAGTTCTACAAATCCAAATCTAGTGATCTAGGACTTTCTGGAAAGCTTATCCAATTCTCTACAACTTTGTTATTAACCATTTTACAGTACACATCAGTTTCAACATGCAAATCCTCACACTCTAGAATCAGTCCGGAAATGACTTAACATGCAACATAAAGTAAGAATACTTCTCCTTCAGGTAATCATTCAAAATTTGACAACCTAGAACCTACCAATAGTTTAAGCATACCAAATACAGTTAAGATGATATAATGGTAAAGCCCAAACTATTTATTAAATTGCCTTTATTATTTTATTTAGATATCTAGGTTAAATAATAAATATATATCAGATGTGCTTAATAAATTCTCAAAAATTTACAGAGCTTTACTAATGCTATCAAAGAGACTACTGTAAAAATTTCATGTCATTTTACCAAGTAGAACATTCTATACAAAATGACAAGGCAGCAAGGCTTGAAATAGCATAAATGGGAAATCCTATTGAAAAGTGTCAAACAACAGATTTTATATTTTCTTAGCATCCATATGGTACTAGTATCACCTCCAACAAATTTCATGAATTTTGGACTCATACTTAATTTATGAAAATTCATGCAAGGATTAACTAGTCATAAAAGAAAAATCTATAACTTTAAATCTACCCATGCACTGGTCCTCAAATTTTACCAGGGCTCACATATGCTAAGATTAGTTCACCACAAAAATTTCATAATTTTTGGAGCACAGGAACTCTAGATATAAAATAAACAAATTTGAATGCATTCAAAAGCACATTTCAAATCCCTATTTAAATCTCCAGAAATTTCTACTGTTGAAACCAAGAACATATTTTTCCAAAATACTACACTTCCTAAGCAACACAATCATATTTATTTTACTATTTTAGGAGCTACCAAACTAAAGATACAAAAATAACAAAACAACTCAAAAGCTGGATTCAAAATGAGTTAGCCTACACTACTTACATCGTCACGATGTGTGGGACCCCAATGTCATTGACTCAAGCAGAAAAAATGAATGCTGCAGGTGTGTGGCGCGCGGCGAGCTTCGCCGACGGCGAGGTTGCCGGCGGTGAGGTCTTCACGACGTGATCACGTGACCCTAGCGCATCTATTGAGCCACTTGGGCGGCCCTATTGTCGACGACGGTGAGGACGGCGCGCGGCAATGGCGGAGAGCGGCGAGGCGGGACGACGGCGAGACGTCGGTGAAAGCTACGGTGACGCAAACACAAGCTCGGACGAGCATCTACGAGCTATGGTTGGCCTATTGCGCGCTCAAACGTGGCATGGGGTGGTCTGGTTAGGTGGGACCACGGCGACGGAGGGTGGCGGAGGAGCTCCGGCGAGGCGGTGCACGGGGTTAGAGCTCACCGAGCTTGAACAATGAGCACCGGAGGACAATGATAGAGATGTGGGGTGGCGGTGGAGCTGTTGCGGTGGCGCTTGAGTGGCCAGCGCGAGAAATGCGGCGCGGCTATGGCGACAATGAGCGGTGGGCGCTCGGCGGCTGCTGCTGCGAGGAAGGACGGCCGAGGCGAAGCGAAAATGGAGCGCGGCAGGGGTCGGGCGGACACTGGCGGGGTTAAGGCGCGCTCGGCAATAGCGTGGGCTGGCTCGGTCTGTCGGCAGAACGGCGACGCGGCGTCGGCCGCTTTCTCCTCCACGCTGCGCGGCCACGGATCGACGGGCGGTCGGCCATCGAACGCGATTCGTTTCATCGAACGTGATGGCCGAGCTCGACGACGAGATTTGCCGCCGATTTTCCCGCTAATCCGTCGCTCCAAAGCATAAGACGTCTAAACGAAATCTATAGCCCTATGTACCAGCTTCAATTGTTGTTCAATCACCTCGTGCTAAATCGCAACATAGACGGAGTAATCTCGTGCCCAACCTTGGGCCGTCACCGCCGATTGATTAAATACTTGAAAAATTTGTTAAGTGTTGAAAACTGGATTTTGCTGGTTTTTGTGGGACCCATTCAAGCATGTTAGAAGCTAAATCAGTCCATGTCATAAAAATAAAAGTTGTTCCTTATGTCAAACACTACAACTTTGCTTTAGTGAACTCCTCCATGCAAGGTCTCTAACACCTAGTTCAACTTTAGTCAAACATGTTACTTTGAAATCATGATACATATTCAAACCATGGCTAAATGACCAAACTAGCCTTAGAACTAAATACCAAAGTTGTTCCTAATGATATCCTAAGCATGTTTAAACAATTTGCAAGGTCATTTAAGCATTTCATGTAGTAGTCACTCATATAGCTATTGAAAGTAATCACATGAAACATCACTTAAGTGCTTGATCATGAAA